CACAGAGAAGGAAGGGAAGCCGACTTTGTGAGCCCGTACTATAGTAATGGTATTTAGAAAAGTTTCTTTGCAGGAAATATAGTTTTTTTTTTAACTGAGCCTTAAGGGGGGAGGGAGCAGCAGATCCCACCTCTTTGCATGAGAAAACCTCACCCACTCCCGCAGCCCTCTCCATACATAGTCTAGGAATACTATATTGTTCGGAGAGCGTGCGTCGCGCGCGTCCGTCGAAAGTAGGTCAGCCCGCCCGTTTTGCGCGCTGCGCACCCCACTCAGGTCTCGAGATGACATTACAGTACCACCAAGTGTCAGTGAGCGAATGATCTGCATATGCCCGTATCATCTTCTCTTTAAGCTGGCTGTCGTGGATCAAGCGCAAATGGTATGCCCCACTGACAACTGCGACGTTCGTCAAGTATCGCGGGCAGACCCGCCGCATGCAAGGCTGCGGCGTGAACTAGTTTCGACGGACGCGTGCAACGAAGCGCACCCATATTGTTCATGTCAAAAACATTCTCTGAGCCCAAGTAACAACAAACTACCCCTTTCTCTTTGCCCGCTCTGTCGTCAGTGCTGGAAAAAGTGGCGGTGAACCTATGAATGTTGTCTGCTATTTTAAAAAATATAATTATCATATGCAAATCAAAACCAAGGATTCACAGAAACGCAGCATCTCATCATATGAATGAAAGGAAGACAACTTGCACCGTGGGCGAAATGTAAGATGGAGGTGTCCTCTACACTGTGTTCTGCATCTACAATGCTAATAACTAGAGCATAAAGAAGATAAGCGGGAATAGCGATTTATAATGGTGATTTCTGATTTGAGAGATGATGTTTTTGGCCTAAGTTTAGGGAGAGGACGACCATGGGTGGTTGAAATGCTGACCCCATTCGAATAGTTGGAATGGAAGAGGACTTGGATAGTATACAGTACCTCATTACAAGAGTACAGACAAAGGCACAGAAGGCCGGAAATGAATATAGCTATCCAGCTGAATGAATGCCAACTAAAGTTTGGCAGTGTACCGTGATTTCTGTTGATACCATATCGGGGGTTTTCGTACTACGTGAGAAATTTTGTGTCAATTTGCAAACCTACGAGTGGCCCAGGTGCTGCTGTTAAATACTGATTGTTATTCTCAAAATTAATTAATCGTCCGCCAAGCGCAATAAACAGATCGAGACCTTCAACTTTGGTCGGGATGCGAGCTGAGCGAGTCAAGCTCTCTTGTCAGCCCTTCCCTTGATAACCGACGGACGCAGGGCGTCATTCGGCAGTCACGTTATTTCTACCCAAAGCAGTCTCGATACTTCTGAGGAAAAAAGGCGATAACTTGTTTGTGAATTTACTTTTCTTGTATAATTTCTCGAATGTCTTGAAAAAACAACCAAAATAATGGGTTCCTTCAAGCATGGTCACTACTACTCCGGCTTCTATCAAAAACACAACACAGGACCCCTCGAAGATTATCCCTGCGCGAACGATCCAGGGAAGCTGGTAGGTTAGCAATGTTTTTCACAGATGACTACGAACTCAAATGTTTTTTGCAGATGAAATGCTCCACATCATGCATACAAGCTCAGTTCATCGAGCAGGAAACCGGGAGCGGTAAGTGGTTTCTCACCTATACAAGGTCCCCTCGTGGAAGATTCTACTTCAGCCAGCGAAGCTTATGTGCATTATTGTTAGTATTCTAGTATTTTATTACCAGTTGGGCTCCGCGTACTAACGCACGCTTCCTATAGGCAGCAGTAACGAGCTTTTCGATTTGTGATCTACCTATCAAGAATATAACCTGAACATAAACTGTGCTGGGTTATAAATCTATGTAATAAGTACTCGGTGTTATAAAAGTGAAAAAGGCTTCGAAAAATTTATAAAAAGGGGTCCGGACGAGAGTGAGACCAGAAAAATGAAGAAGAGTGGGGCGACTGGACGAGCTAAACAGTGTGTTTCACTGCGTGCGTGTGGGTCCCGATGCGAATAACAGACAATGGTAAGCAAAAATTCATTCACTTATAAGCATAAGCTAACAAAAAACCCTAGTGACGCAAAAATAACTCACCTTTTTCAGCCTCTTGGTGTAGCAAGTTGAATAAGGGATAGCGACAGCAAAAAGAATATCAGAGGAAAAAGAATGGAAGAAAAAGCATCGCCTCATCACTCGGCGATCAGTTGATTTTGTGTGGGTCCTAGAACGAATAATTGCAATCTGTATCGTCTCGACACTAGTCTGTGACATCGATAGAAAGGCGGGAAGGCCGCGTGAGCCGGGAACAGGGCTTCCACTATGCCCTAACCGTCGAGCTTTTGAGCGCGAGATAGTCCTTTCTATTACCTTTGGGGCCCTCTGAGTAATCCTAGGGGAAGAGCTCAGTAACCATTTTTATCGTAAACCGTGCTTTTGATGTTTTTCCGGTGGCTGGACATGGCGGGCGCAGTCGGAAGGGCGACGGAATAGTAGGCGCGACCTGGAAGCTCAGATCCTTCTCTTCTTTCGCTCGCGCTCCGGAGACTCAGGATTTGGGTTCGAAGTTCGGCAGCTCCATGCACTTCCGAGAAAGGGGTATGATGAGTTCCGATGACTCATCATACCATAGCGCTTTTTGGAACAAGTAATACTATTCCTATGGGGAGAAATGAGCTAATACATTCTTTTAATGTTTTTATAAAAAAAAGCATTGCCTTAACAGTAAATGAGTATTTTATGCACAGGTATGATATTGTTTGAAGAGAAAGCTTCCTTCAACGAGAACAAGGTAGAAAGCAAGTTTATCACAGCAATCACTCTCACAGTTTCCATCTAGAAGAGATGAGAAACGATATTGTACGGGTGTTCCAAATGTCCCTGATACGCATTCAGGAACTCCGTTGCAAACTAAGAATATGAAAGAAACTTCTAAATCTCAGCGCCCTAAACGAAAAGTGCACTATTTAGATAGGGCGAGTCATGGAGTTGCGTTGCTAACGTGAAAGTCCAGGTCATGAGCAATTTCGAAAGAGCCAGTTCGATTATACATGCCTTTGGGTGATAAAGGAAAAAAATGCATCTGGAGACTAAATTTGAGAAGCTGGGACAGGTGGAATGCTGTCCACTTTCATTTCCTTAACAGTAAGCAAAGTACCCTGATCTGCTTCCTGGTACTTAAATGAGCTCCATGAGTCGTCAGTCAGCAAGGCTGACGGCAAATCAACTAATCAACGCTCAATCGAGCATGAGTTCTTTGCATATCATGTGGGTTGTACTAGCCCTGACCTCCAAGTTTGAAGCGTTCGAGACAGCCTTCAACCCGGAAACTTCCATAAGGTTCCTGTTACAACAGACCGTTTAAAAACTTGAGTTTATTTATATACGTTTTTCTTCAAGAGCATTAACCCGCATTACAACATATAGTTTTTTTTTACTAAAAGCCTAGTGGCAAACTAGGGTTCGCATAACAGCGTAACAGTGAGACACTGCCAAAACAGACTGCACCATTCTTTATACACTCATCTGAAACTTTACAGCTAGAGTTCTGGCCGAATGCAGCTCTTTCCCCAAACCGCATTGTTCTGCATTGCCAATGCTTCCAAGCGCCGATTCTCCATTTCTGGACGTTCTAGCAAAGCATTAATGGAGCTATCAGGCTGCCACAGTGGCTGCTCACACATAAATCCTCTACAATATGAGGAAATCCGTATATTTTCACCTCCAAACAATGTTTAAGCCACACGAAATATACGATCTGTGTCGAAAACCCTTTCGTTGAGGATAACGTGGTGATGTTAGACACAGTAACACAGCTCGACGTGAAGTCCTGAATCCTCCTACGGCGTTGAAGTTCTTCACTATTTCCTGTGGATTTCCAGCGCCAGACGGTGGAGATCGCTGCCGTGCTACGAGATTCTCATGATCATGGTTGCAATAACCTCTACCTTCAACATCCCAGCGGATCTCGGATGTCCGACAGATCAATCTCCTCGTTTTGCCGAAGTATTTACGACCACCTAGGAAATCATAAATGGTCGAAAAAGGAATAATTTGGAAACTGTGGAAACTCACGGCCTCGCTCAATTTCCCTTAGCTTCCACATGTGATATTTTCGTGATGAAACGGAACATATGGACAATGTCATAAGGATAAAGGTTACCTTCTCCTGTGATGCCTATGCATCTCCGAAATGGTAAAAGGTTCCCTCTAGGGATGTGTTGGGTCCGTCATCGTCGCCGCTGTCACCAGAAAGTAAGATCCACGGACTCGTCTTCCTCGCAGTCAATGACAAAATTTTCTTACAGAACATCCCGCAGCATAGAGGAAACGCTCTCTGATACCCTCGCTCCTTTCTAGAGTATGCTCGCGTTATTTCGCAGGTACCTAATCCCTTTAACGAATGCGATACCTTTGGGAAAGCGCTTTGAAAGTATGAGTACTCTCGATACTGAACTTCTGGAAAACCTACAGAGATCGGTCAAAATTTTGCAAGCTCATCTTGAGCAAACTTTGGCATCAAAGTCCTGCTAGGCTTGAGTTGCACCCATATACGGTCAGTGTATGAGCATTTTTTGTGTCTCTTGAATATGATGGAAACTGTAGGTGACTTGTGTGAACCGTGAAAGTGTTTTGCTGGCGCTCAGGACACTTTTCGTGGAAAAGCAAAACACGCTTATGTATCATTTATCCGAAGCTCCGTGTCATGCGTAGCTGTTAACCGTCCTACCAACAGCGCCATCGCTGCACGTTTCGAAGTTGCTCGGTTCGCCTATAAAAGCCACACAGTAGTCTGACAACTGACTAGTGCGTAATTTTGTTAGCAGAATCGCTTCGCAGATTCGGAACCCAGATTTGAGATCAGCGTTTAGAAGCAATTGCGTCGGTATACATCTCATCTTGAATGTCCACTGTGACCTGGTATCTTTCCCGTTTAATTTTTTCATAACTACCAAATGTTTGGGTACAACAGAGGATGGGAAAGCACCCCATGTAGTACGTATATGTAGCCTGTTGCTGTGTTGCGAAATGCTTGTTGATGGTAACTGTTACTATGTTGACGAACTAATTATGAACTGCTACGATTCAGTATACACATATCGTGACTGTGGAACATTCCTTCTCCAGGAGTTTGGAACAGAAAAGTTCAATCTCTCATATACTCAATATGCCATGATACTGAGCGACGTTGATGAAGTAGGTGAGACTTTTTTCCGACTATACTCTTCATACGAACAGGGTATTTACCATTAAAAGAGCTAACACATCTGTCTATCTAGGTAACACTTGGGTGTTCAAGTTCTGTAACAAAGAAAAGTGCTTACGTGAGTGTTACCTTTTACATTTATCTTTCCTCCATCGAATTCGTCTTCAAGACACACCTGGGGTGAGTACTCCGGAGTTATCATCTGTTCAGACCCATCGGATTACGAAATTACGGATGGCGATCAGGGAGAAAAAGGTACGACTAGTGAATCAGTTCCAGTACAGGCACCAATTCAGAGTAAGAGACTACAGAATTAAGTTCTATCCATAAAATTTCTGTTGTTATGCACTTAGTGGACTTCGATGTTTTTCTGAATCTTTCTACAGTTTTACGCTTACCACAAGTTTACTCTGTACACCATTGGTGCCATCGATAATGTTTCTATACGTTCTGTAATCTCCACAAAAGGGGAGGGAGAGAGAATGCAAGTTAAGGACACAGTAACGATACGTCACGTATCAGGAAAAGGATAATGAGATTTGCTTATGATCAATCGGCCGAAGCTCGAAAAATTCCTCCAGCTTTACCTTTTGAGGCCAAAGATCTTTTTCATTCCAATTTAGAGGCAAGAAGAAAATACTGGATGTTTCTAGATATTTATGGAAAAGTAAAGCAAGGATATACGTAGCCGAGTGGTCAAAAATGTAGGCCCATGTCTGCGCGCAGGAAGACCGCGATGTTCGACCCGTGTCGAGGTAAAAGCATGCCTTGCACGAGTTGCCAAATTGGTGTCAGTACCAATCTGACAGGCCGGTTGATAGAGAGTCCTGTCACAAAAACAACACCTCGAGGCTTTAAAGCAATCAGTACAAAGGCTAGGAATTCACCTTTAAGTGATGCACAGAGCCCCGTCCCAGTTCTGTGAACACTACGAAGGGGTGAACGACCCCGGTCAAAGAAACTAAATCGAGTGGAACTCTGAATGTCGTCGGATCGCTCGCTGGAAGGCCGAAACAGGTTGTAGATCTTATAAAAATGTTAAAATCCACGTTGCTTGCTGCTGCTTGCTTTAGGAGACACGCTGGAAAGGAGCAAAGGATAGAAAAATCGGTGAGGGTCCCAAGGCCAAACGAAAGGGTCTGACAACAACAGTATCGAAGTTCCTAAAAGACTCAGTCCCCTGCTAACATGATCGAGTAATGACTGTGTGAGTAAATACGAAAGAGGATTGCTTGACAATGATATCATCGTACGTGGTTACTCTTGTTACAAAAAAGACGAGTTCTATCTGATCCCTTAAAACTTTAAAGTTTTTTAAGGCTCTACCTAGCAAAGATTTGGCTCCTTCCCAGAGGCCTCTTTTAGCGGGCATGGCCATCGAGCTTACTAAAGAGGATAGAAACGAAGCGAGGAATTCGGTGGTAGGTTTCAACAAGCACGAGAGGTTGTGCGAGAGGAACACTGCGTGAGAAGCAGGTAGGATCCAAAGAAGACGAAGCAGCGCGGTTCCCAAACAGTTGAGTGCGAAATTTCGTGAAGCCCAAGAAATACTCATAAAGCCTTGGTGGAACATGCGAGCTCTAGGAGACCTAGCCGTCTACAGAAGCTGCAAAAACGAAGGCAAAGGTTATGGAAACTGACGCCACGCCATGTACGAGAAATTGGACGGTCTAGAAGGAGACAAACTCGAACTCCGAATACCAGGGTCCGATATCGGGTAACTCAGGACATTGGGTGAGTAAAGTTCATGCAGAACTGCGCGGGTGTCATGCCAAAAAACCCAACTGAGATCAAGCGCAGGTGGCGAAACTACTTCGATGGATATCTTAATAAAGAATTTCACCGTGAGAACAGCTTCCAAGAAGATGCACTGGCCCCATAGCACTGTGGACAGAGGATGAGGCCCATCGGGTCTTAGGGAAGATGAGGTTGGAATGCAACCGATCCGGTTGGGATGCCGATAGAAGCATAGAGGACGCTTGGAGGGTACGGAATCAGATACCCAATTCTTAAACACAGTGGCCACCGAAGGAAAGATGCCAAGTGAGTGAAGAAGCACTACTATCATTTTCATCCTGAAGAAAACAGGGACGCGATCGAGTGCTCAACCACCGAGAGATCAGGTTGACTTCACATACGGTGAAATTCTACTGTAGGCTAGTCAGTCAACTCGGGACTGAGGGAACAAAGTCTAGTCTCAGTTCGGCTTCATATCAGAAGGTCTACCACGGATGCCATCTTCATAGCTGTAAAATTAACAAGGAAATGTGTCGAGAAAAGCTTAGACCTTGCTATTAAGCCTTCTTCTATAAGGCTTAAGGAAGTTTTCTTAGGTCGGTGCGAGTCAATACGTTATCATTTCCTAAAACCGGATTGCCATAATCCTACCACATAATGTTCCTCATTCGCTATGAATGAAGTTTTTCTAAAATATCAATTCAATGTGTAATTTTAGCCCAATTTTGGAACATTCCTGTCAATATTTCCTGTTCCAGGTTCGTCGTCAAAGCTGTTTATCGTAAGCTGCGCCGTAGTAGTAGGAATGGCTGTCGGCATTGCAATTGCGAGTGAGCAGCTTTATTGTGATTCACAGTTTCGTTCTACGATACAATTTACTTTTTCAAAACGTCTAATTTCCAGAAGCAGTAAAAGTCTTCGACAGACGTCGTACGGACCGTGATTTTCCTCCTATCGCCAATGTGGAGGTCAGTTTGAATCAATAAATGAACTCATTTTATAAAATATTTTATGCAGTCCAGTACAAGGTATAACAATTTAATTGTGCCTATAGGGACACAACACATACGCATCAGTTGAAGGTCAAATACACTGCTCCGGCTAAATATACGTCCACCGATGAAGGGCCCTGAAACTCGTACTTCTCAATGTTTTCGGATAAATAAATACAACCCATAGTATTAAGACAAAGTATTAAGATTATAAGGGGGAAGACAAGCCAAAGAAGTAGTTCAACTTCCGTTTCGCACGTGCCTTAGACGGAAATCGAACTTAAAGGCACAGTTCAAGAAAAAGTGGTTTCGGAGATTTGCACATGGTTTGAATTCGAAGCCCCCTCTGGTACCATTTGTGCAGGAATTAGGTCGGAATACAGTCTGGATAGGCACAATAGGGGCAGGAACAGTGGGGGAAGAGAGGCCTCCGCCCCTCGCTAGGTTGACTACGAGTTCAAATTGTCCTTCATCACTTTCGCATTGGAGCAACATTAGTGCAAAATCGATAGGCTGGTTGGCAAATTGCCCGCAGACGGTCAGCTGGTCGACCGCCTCGTATTGGGACTACTATTAGGCTGTTTTTCTAGTATTCGACTATATTCTACGCTTTTCTATTCTAATTAATTTTCCTCAGCCGTCGCTAAAAGGTCTAAATTGATTTTGCATAATAAATCAGATTAATAGCGGTAGGAGAATTGGTTTTGATGAATAAGCCAAAATCAGCTGTTGGTGTGTTGTGTGCAATGGCAGACACTGCGTCGCGTTTATCTGACTCGCCCGAAAAATCCCTTATCGCCGTTTTTTAGTCATTTAGCCCGTCCAACCCCCCTTTTCCCTTGTTTTTTGTGGCTCTCTATTTCTATATATTCATCTTTTTTCGCGTTTTCTCTTTTACCATTGTACTATTGTGAGCCGTATCTAACATTTTTTGTCAAATTTCGCCAAAAAACCGGATACCCCAAAATTGACGTGAACTGTGCCTTTAAGAAATATTCTCCCTCCGTGCTCTTCAGTAGGGTAGGGGAGAACACGTACTTGTGAATGTTATATATTATAACGAATAAATAATTAAACAATAAGTTAAGAGATATGAAATGCAAAGGACTCACCGAACTGAAAGCACACATTGAGAAAGTCTTCAATTGAAAGTTGTGACAAATATCAATAGAAGATTGCATACGACACCGAATTTCAAATAGAGAACTGGTATGTTTTCATCTTCATTTTTCGAGAAGGTCTCACTGGTCTAATAAGCAGAAATATACCTCCACACAATAAATTTAACAACGGGATATCAACAAAAACACCAAATATTACTAATTAATAACCTAATGGCCCTCCACTCCCTCGAATAGCTTGGAAAATGCCATGCTTGCATAAAGATTGTCGTTATGCCTTTGGTCAACTGGGTGTCATTCTTCGATGATGTTGAGCTCCTTGACGCCTCGAAAGTGGCCGTTGGTGACGTACTTCGTTTTCGCCATTAATCCCCACACGTTTTCCAATGGATTGAGGCCAGGACTCGTCGCAGGCCAAGGGTGATGTGATGATTCTTGAACCACCTAGGGTGCTTTGGCGTTATGCATCAGGGCGTTGTTTTGCGCAAAACCAAAGTTTTGGCGCCGATTCTGACATCAAGAAGGAAGGAGTGCGTACCTCAAAACAACCCGATAGCCGGAGGAGTTCACATTTTCCAGTGCAAAGCACTATTTCAGTCACCTTTCGATGTGATTGCTGCCCAAACCGTCATGCCGCCTCCTTCAAAACTCCGTCGTGGGAAAAATTTCATCCTTCAGAAATTGTGCCGACAGAAGCGATTGGCGGCCGGTTTGTCGCAGTTTTATTTTGTCCATCGGAGAACACAATTTAGAGAGAAAAACATCTGACGATAGGAGTTTGAACTTCACGGGGGATGAGCCACCTTCCTCCAGTCAGATCGAATGTGTCTTTTTGCCGAATGGACTCGGTTTTTCCTGATGTTTCATAGTCCTGAAGAATCCTTCCTCATATTCGGCGACGAACTGGACTTTGATACCAACCGATAAACTGTACCGACATCGAGGTCGAGGTTTCATTACTGCGCATGACTTTGTTGATTTCGATGCTTCTCGCGGAATCCGTCGCTTAACTCTTATCGAAAGCAAAGGAGGACGTCCTGTACGCTTTTTGGTGTCATAAGCATCAGGATCCTTGGGGAGCGTGTTAACGACATACGGCATTCTGTGCTATTCGTCTGTTGGACGATCGTTACCTCCGTTTTCGAAAATTTGACCTTTTTCGAATTGTGACAGTGGTTTTCCTCTGACCACACCTTGGACAAGAAAAGCACTACATTAAGAGAGCAATTATACTCAGCGAAAATGAAAGGAGAAAACGTAGGGTAGACGGCAGAATAGGCCAGTGCGAGCTTCTCAAAAAAAAAAGGAATGGAAAGAGAATAGCACTTTTAGACAAGACTTTCGCTTAGAGACTTTTTCGAGACATTGAGAGGTGCTAGTTTTGGGCAACTTGTGTGTGGACGTATATTTATCCGGAGCGGTGTATGGTATATGATCCTCCTTCAACAGCACGGGGACCTTACCAGGCTCAGAATTGGGGTTGGATGTCGGGGGTGTGGAGCAGTAGGAACGAAATGGTCGCGCGCGGCGAAAGCCACGTCTCGCGCGAAAGAATGTAGCAGAGTGCAGCAGCAAGTAAGAAATACAGGAACAAAAGAACTAACAGTAGAATCATGTTATAAGTAATAAACGCATTGCGATTGAGCTGTATGAAGAACGCTAGAACTGTTATAACGAGGAAAAAGGTCCGCGACAGCCGCGTGCGGAGGATCGATTACGCAAAACCGTTCCTACTGCCCGTCTCCCGGATATCGATACTACATATATGTGGACTGCATATTAGCCTTACTTATTAGAGAAACCCCATGTAAATACCCCACAGTTGGTTGAAAGCTTTGAACTGATCAGTATTATTATCATGGGAGAGGACCATATGAAGCGCGAAAGATCATTTTCTCTTGCTGAAACATGGTTTTAGAACTATTACAGCCTTTGGCATGAATGGTATCATGCCTTTAGTGTGCTAAACAGTAGCTCAAGGTTTGACATCGTCAATTCCCTTTATTTTTGTAATGTTAAAGGGATTGAAGTTTGAAGTCACAGCCATGTCTTCAGAATAACCAAACAGTATGAGTGAAGGTGTCAAAGTTTTTGTTGAAGCTTCTCCGGGATAACGACAACGAGCCCGTCGCCCATATCTCATTGCCGCAACAGCCGTCAAGTCTTTAGAGAGGTCGACTTCAATGACTTCGCTACAGAGTTCCTACGATTTCTCGGTTTTTGTAATTGATTTCACGTATTGTTTTATATGAGAGGATGACATGAAGTGTTTCATATTCCGTAGATTGGCGGCGTTGAGGATCATATGTCTATTGGAGCTTATTGAATGTACCCAGAACTTCTTCCAGGTCACCAACAAACACTGCTATTTTTCAACTTTACACCTAATTACTCGGGTTTATCGCATAGGACGATCCTCATCATTAAGCCTTTGTATAGATTATCCTCTAGTAAATGTTATTTGTAATAAACACATCTCTGGCATGTCCATCAATCACTCAGAAAGTAATCGAAGTGAACTTCGATGACCCAAACTCCTGCGAAGATGTTACAAAAATATAATAAGTGGAAATTCGGTGCAGATCAACCATGCAAACAGTTTACGAAAATATTCATTGAACTAAAACATACATCAAATGGATAATACATTGGTAAATTCTAGGAGGAATACTGATTTCAGAAAGTTTATATGCCTTCTGTGGTTTCTTGTAGTTTTAGATAAACTCTTTTCAAATATTATGGTATTTTGCATTGAACAATGAATACTCTATAGTACTGGATATCAGTAATATTGATTTTATATAGTCGAGCAGACATAGAAATTCTATATTCGTGCTATAATCTTATTAACCAAATATGTAATGTGAAAAGCTTGATCGAACCACTATCGCCATTGAGTGCTATGGACAGGAGGATCGTGTCGACATCGATGTATGGGCGAAGCTGGAAAACGGCTGGAATTAGGAAGGCTCAATACGCAACACAAACACTATAGAATCCACTCGTCCTACATAGGGTGCCCAAGCTTATCAGTTTGCCCAGTGTTCAAAAAGGAAATGGGTGGACTGTACAAAAAAAAGCTGCCCGCTATCGAGTCCATTCGGCGATTAGACTCTACATACATATCTCTTGATAGGATTCAGTTGGTTATGGTGTAAGTAGGACGTCGGCATAAAACTAGGTAAAGGTGCCATTGGGAAAAGATCTTGTCTGTCCAGCGCATCAATCAAGGACTGGTGCATGATGGAGGTTCCTGGGGGACATCGCCTAAGAGAACTGCGGAGAACGTGAGGGCACAACATCGTATGCCTTGTGGTTCCGAACGATTCTAAACGGCCTTATATGTATTTACTATCAAAGCAGATGTGAGCATTTGACCCAGAATTTCGACATTCGGATTTCCATATTGTGGAATGATTAGCCCAGAGCCTTAGAAACCGAGCCGTACGATATGGGTGCGCTTCGTTGCGCGCGCCCGTCGAATGTGGGTCACGCCGCGGCCGTCGCATGCGGCGGATCAGCCCGCGACACTTGACAGACGTCGCAGTTGTCAGTTGGACATACGATTTGCGCTTGGTCCATGGCAGTCAGCCAACGAGAAGATAACACGGACGAATGCAAATCGTTTGCTCCACTGACACTTGGTGGTACTGTAATGTCATCTTGGGACCTCAGTGGGGTGCGCCGCACGCGAAGTGGTCGGGGTGACATACTTTTGACGGACGCGCGCAACGGACGTTCTCCGTACGATATACAATATCGTCTCCTCTCTCTATGCCTCCACAACCTTTATCAGAGGGGGGCTTTATTAAGAACGTAAGCGGTAAGTGAGTAGCAGTGAAAAATGGATAACTACGAAAAAGCGTACCAGTTAGAAGCCGTTCTCCCATTGACGTGGAGCAAATACACGATTCAGAGAAGAATAGCTGTTGTTTTTTCCTCCTAGATTTGCATAAGATCTCTGAAAGTGAACAGAACTACTAGTTAGGTTCATCTCTAGCATTATCCTCATTGACTCCAGAGAACATTTAATTACTTTCAAAGTAGAGAACAACATATAAGACAAGCAAGTATGAAAACTTTATCATTGCTAATTACAATTCTCAAGATGCAGACAGCCCAAACATACAAGTTAGTGAGTGCAAAGTGCTGCATACACCTTAAACACTGTGCACTAAAACGAAGTATTCGCGGTCTCGGATAGTGGACTATTATGCTTTTTTCCCATACAGAGAGTAAACAATAAAAAAAGTAAAGCAAATAGTCGAGTATATGAAATAGAGAAAAAGAAAGTAAAAGGTGAGGACATGGAGCAGCGTGAAACACAGGGGCGTGTGTCATGTGAAGCGGACTACCTAAGCCGAATATCTATGTTACACATATATAACACTAATGTATTAATCGATTCGTGATCTACGTAAAAATGACACACTTGCCGCGAAATTTGAATCCTGTTTAACGATAGAGTCGCATAACGTAGTGCGTAGTAGCTTTTATCCTTATAGTAAAATCTAAGAGATTAAGCTGGCCCTAAAACAACTACAGAATGAGAAGCTCATCTAAATCTAGCTGAGTCAACTTGAGCTGATACACTTTTGAATGGTATCGAGCACAGTGTAGAATGGTCCTAGCTAGCGATAGATGTATTACACACGCTATCGGGATGTCCGGCGATAAAATTCCTTGTTAAACTAGTAGTAGGGATAGAAATGGGAGTAGATACTGGTACGCGGATGTGAAGCTGAGCGCATACTCGAATACGGGGTCGCTCGCAGCAAATCCATTTGCCGCACAGCTTGATTCAGTTTGCTCGATAGCTGGCTGTACTCGGAGCGCAGCTAAATACAATACATAATATCATCTTAGAAAATGTCGTAACTGAACGACATTAACTGAAAAGGGAATCTCTGCCTAGATAATTTACTCCCCATATCACACATGGTAGGCGGTATGCAAATATCCCATTCGTTTCTGAAAAAAAGTGAATCCGTAGCACATTTTTTTAAAAATTTCACGGTCTCTTAGATACCATTTATCGAATATTTTCTTTCCCGACCTCCCGACCCGACGTTACTCGATTTTCTCAAATCGACAAATCCATTTTTCTAAAATCAACACTATTGTATGCCGCCTACCTAAACTGTGGATACGGAGGGTGGACAACGCTTGCCAATAGTATCCGTGTGATTTCCCTCGAATGAAACTCTTCGGAGCCTCGTGATCCCCATGAATTTGCCCCAAAAGATTCTGGAAGGCGTGACTATCCTGTTAGTATCCATGATTGGCCTGCTGATGACCAATCACAGGCACCTGCTGATGACCAATCACAGGCACTTCAGGGATGTAGCACGCTTGGAACCAAAATGCGAAGGCCACGGAGTCGGAATATCAAGTCAGAAGTGTTCAAAATTCAACAATCGGATTTCGGCAATCATTGCCACCTTAATGTAGGCAGAGCATGCGCCTTCCGCTAACGCAGGGAAGCAATAAATTAGAGCGGGACCGCAGTCACTGAGGAATTCAATGTGTTCAAGAACTAACTTTCATGGGAGTGGTATGATATAAACGAGTTCTATTTTTTACGGTTTCAAATACATCCTCGAGAAGACAGGTGATTCGTAACCGTTCTTTGATGGAAGCAAGCAAAAAAGAAGTTTCCTGGTCCTATGAATTGAGACCCCTACCTAGGGTTATTTTGGCGACTCCAAAAAAGTTTCCTGGTTCAATGAATGAGGACTAGCCGCAAATGTTTCAGCAGCTCCATGTTAAGAAAGTTGCGCGTAGTCTATGTATGTTTTTCAGTCGGTGAGCCACCGAAATTTAGGAATTATACTTGAAAAATCGTACCCACATAGGTTAGCATAGGCGCAGGACAGGTGAGTGTTCAGAGACGTCAACTTTACATAAACTGTCCAAATAAAGCGGTGAATGCACTACTGATCTCTGATTGGTCAGTACCAGCAAGCTCCAATCATAAGCGGTTTTTGCGCGCGCAATTATTGCCCCGCCCTACAGGCCGTTGTTAATGAAGGCGAATGAGCGTACACAAAGCCAAGGTTGACGGGTTAGCGATGTTATCACTTAGTGACTGCGGCTTAAGCACTGTAAGCAGGAAGGCGCATGAAATTTTATTCTATGAGCAGGTTCGCTCACCCTGTCCTTTGTTAACAGTTCACGTGACAGTGATCTTTCGAGTTGACCAATGCGGCCCTGAAAAACGCTGTTGTGCTTGATGAAGTCAAAAGTAGGCAAACTCTGTGTGCTTGCCCTTCACAGCGTTATTTCAATTTGAAAAAGGAGGTTAGTCAAATAGTGTTGCGCACCATTTTTTACTCGAACTTAGAAGGGTTGAAAACCACCAAACTTAGATGTCATCAGCAAATTCTCCACGCTATCCAGCTTTAGAAACAGTGTATGAATATTCTATGAAGCCCATTATTTTCTGGCAATCTCCAAAAGTAAACTCATTCGCTGGGCGTGCAAAATGAAAACAATTAATAAAACTTAACTAAAATAAGAATCAATTCAGAAAGGGTGTAGCTCGCAATTGGCTGCCGCCACCATTTGACCAATAGCTATTTAGAAAAGGTTTATTGCCGGGGTTCTGTTACCAAAGCAAAGCATTTAAAACTGAGACATTGAGTTGGGTTAAGACAACCTGACAAGTCAAGCACTATTAACCCTTTACCACCGTACTTTTTGAAATTTGGGAAGCAGTTCTTCTCTGAAGTAATTTGACCGTCAGGAGTGATTTTGACATTCGTCCAGTTCGGAGGTCTCTCCCTCAGCGGCTAAGGGCCGCTTTCATAGTCCATGATTTGGCGAGCGACCGATCGCGCGATCGGTCGCTTGCAAAATCGTGGACTATGAAAGTTGAAAAAATTAACTTCAGCCCCATCCGAAAAGTAGGACAGGAAAGGATAAATGGTGCACAGGTTAGTTTCATAAGTGTTTGTAAAAGACAATAGGAGACGTTTCAACGGTGATTGAACGGGACCAAAACGACACTAGTTATTGACAGACATGGAAATGGAAATCAAAGGTGCATAGAGTGAATGAAGAGAGAACAAAAATTCCGATGTAATACCCACCTCGTACATGCTCATGACCATAGGTGTCATGTCATGCTGATATCTCTTGAAACGACGAGTAGTGTCGGTGTCAACATACGATGGTGAAGAGTTATAGCTCTTAAAAGTTAAACGAGTAATGCAAATGTCCCGGCGACGGGAGATAATGGAGTGAAGTGGAATCCTCTAGGACATAATCGAGAATTATCCCATATTTTACCTTTTTTGCAACCGATAAATATCGATGGATCAACTTCTACAAAGGTCACTTAGTGACCCCTCGAGGGGGAATATTGGAATTGAGCAGTGCTAATGAACAGAATAAAGGCACAATTCACGTTGGAAATAGTTCCTGAAGTCCTTTTCTTGGATGAGCCTGTTATCCCCAGGGACAGCCTAATGGACACTATCAGGTCGGAAAACGAACAATAGGGCGTAAAAAGGGCCCAAAATAGAATTAGTCGACGGACGCTAGCCAGAAGACGGGCGAGTTCACAAGCGTTGTAAATGCCTGAAGGTGCATCATTCGCATCGGGACCCACGACTTGCACGCAGGAAGCTTATTGCAGCCAGCTGTATGCGATGGCGCCCCCTTCCGTGCAACATCTGCCGTCAAATTCTCATCCAACTACTAATTTTATTTCTTTTTCGAAGCACCGTATTTTTTTGGAAACGCCGGTTCCGCGTTTTTCACCACTTTTGCACTATTGCGCACTATCACTTCCATTACTCCTATAAAACTAGATACCCAAAAATTATCGTGAACTGTGCCTTTAATCCTCCCCTTACGAGGATTAGGAGGTGCTTTTTTGAATCATCTCAGAGCCTACTTCCAAGTTCTGAATCGAAATTCGCAAGGGATTAACACGGGCATATCTTCAATGCGAAAAAAAGGTAGCAGTTTTTTATCTACATTGTTCCTACCACTGGGTAAGTTAATGCGTCCCATCAGCAGAAGATGAAAAGGCAAGGATACAGAGGCATGGAGTCTTTCTACAAAGGTCACGCCGTGACCTATTTGGAAAGACAACAGAAGTTTGGAAGGGTAAATGGTCGATTGGAGGGTGAATTCTTGCTTGTAGTTTCAAAGAAAATCAGGAGGGTGGGACAGTTTGCTGCCAAAACATAGGTGAGAAACGGGTTGCGGTGCAGTAGGATCAAAATTGTCGCGTCGCGGCGAGACGGATGCCGCGCGCAAAGGAAAATAGCAGAATGCAGCAGCAGGTAAGAAATACAGGAACAAAAAAAACTAACTGTAGAATCATGCCTAATATAATGATCGTATATCGAATGATCTGTATGAAGAACGTTGGAGCATAATAAAGGCGAAGCTTATGGTCCGCGACAGCCGCGTGCGGCGAATAGATTACACAAAACCGATCCTACTGCACGTCTTCCTGTGGAATGTGGACCCCCAAAGACAGTAAAGAAAGAATGAGAGACCTATAACCAGAGTCCATGGTAAGAAAGACAGAACAATTGAGAGGATGGTGTGGTGGTGCTTTACAAGGACTTCTAAAATAAACTAATGTCTAACATAAAGTTAGCTCAATTAGTTCAACTGAGAATCACTAAAAGCATATCAGATTATTTTGCGAAACATAACTAAGAACAGAGAGGATGGGCCGTCCTTATTGAGATCCATGGATAGAAATGATGTGTTCTCCAAGAAATTGAACCTTACCGTGTAGCCACTTATCGTTGAAAATCCTCCGGATCGAGACGAAGAGCGGTAGCGTTCATAGGTTGACGGCATCTAACAACTACGTTGTTAACGAAAAAAAAAAACAAAAAACAAGATCGCTACCTATGTATTGTTTACCTCGTATTCATAAGGAGTATGAAGATCGCGCACATAGCTGT